CTCTCGTTAAGCGTTTTCCTCCCGTAGAAAACCATAAACACTTAATATGGCTTAACACTAGAACATGTGGCTGTTTTTAAAACGTACATAAAAGATTTTTAATAAAACATTCAAGTCTTCCAGTCACTGACTTTTACAAAAATTGTGTGATTTACAATCCCCTGCTGTTAAAAACTGTTTAGATAAAACCAGATTAAAAAAATGGGGCATTTATACCTGTAAGCGCCAGTGCGGGTCAAATTTACCCGCTATATAATGCCTGTATGTTCGAGCTGTCATTTTCGTGCCGCTTATGTTTTAACAGTAGGCCTACATTGCTAGGCAACGCCTTTCACTCACTGAATTAATGGTTATCAGTTTCATAAATAAAGACAAAATGAGTAAAAGAATGCGATTTATGAATGCTGAAGAGGTATAAGAAGCACTAAATGCCACGAGCGATAGAGAGTCTGATGGTGGGGAGGTAAGTAAAGCGTCCTGTCGGCTCAGCATCTGACGGCGATCAATATATCATATTTAGACGTTTTATCCTAATGTTACTCATAACTGTTAAAAATTTGGATTATTTAATTTTTGTTTTGCCATTTCTACTGTGCGTGGGTAAAATTTACCCGCTGGCGCTTTTAGGTATACAGCGACCCTTGGCGGTTTCTAATGTTAATGTATTAAGATCAAATTTTATATGCAGTTTATTAATATAATGTATGCATATGTACAGTCATGTGAAAAAGTTAGGACACCCTATTGAATTCCATGGTTTTCTGTATCAGGACATAATAAATTATCTGGTCCTTGGCAGGTCTTAAAATTCAAAAAATAAAACCTCAGATGAACAACATCATATGACATATCACATCATATGTTTTATTTATTTTTAACAAAAATACACTTATTTTAACAAAAATAAAGCCAAGATGGAAAAGCCATGTGTGACAAAGTTAGGACATCCTATGATTTAACTGCCAGTAGATCCACTTTTAGCAGCAATAACTTGGAAGTAATCATTTTCTGTATGACTTTATCAGTCTCTCACATCGTTCTGGAGGAATTTTGGCTCACTCTTCTTTACAACGTTGCTCAGGTTTATTGAGGTTTGTGGGCATTTGTTTATGCACAGCTCTCGCCACAGCATTTCAGTCAGGATGAGGTCTGGACTTTGACTGGACTGCTGCAACCCCTTGATTCTTTTCTTTTCAGCCGTTCTGTTGTAGATTTGCTGGTGTGCTTGGGATCATTGTCCTGTTGCACGACCCAATTTTGACCCAACTTTAGCTGTCGGACGGATGGCCTCAAATTTGACTCTAGAATACTTTGGTATACAGAGGAGCTCATGGTCGATTCAATGACTGTGAGGTGCCCACGCCCAGTACCTGTGTCTACAAGACAAGCCCAAAACCACCAGCATGTGACTTTTGGTATGAGGTGTTTGTGCTGATATGCTCTTTAGGTTCAGACAGTGTTGTACGCTGTATGCCCAGGCCAATATGTTGATTCGCAAATTTGGCATGTGCTCAGGATCTGTGAAGACTACACTTTTTAAAGCATACTGTACCCCTATGTATACTGGCCATTTGTGTCGGCATTACAGAAAGAGCTGCATGCAGAGACTTAATGTAGCTTATAATGATGGTATGCGATTGCTGCTTAAGGTGCCAAGATGGAGCAGCGCAAGCCAAATGTTTGTCAGTGCTGGTGTGCCAACCTGCGCTGCTGTGTTGCGTAATCTCATGTACAGATGTATGTGTAGGTTATCAGAATCTGTAAACAGTATAATTTTAACACTGACAAACTTGGCACTAAGTTCAGTCAGGCTTTTTTCAAATATGTGGAATCATTGGCGTTTTAGTACACATGTAAATATGTGATATTGTGGTTTTTGTCCTTGTGTGTGTTTTTGTATGTCATTGGTGTGTCTTTGTTTGGACCGAGTGTGTCCTTAATAAAGTTTGATGATGAAACTGTGCTGTCATGTTTTTTTTTAGAGTAGAGGCTTTTTTTCTGGCAAGCCTTCCAAATATGCCATGCTTGTCCCATATTTTTCTAATTGAACTGTCATGAACTTTATCATTTAACATGTTAACTGAGGCCTGTAGAGTCTGCGATGAAGTTCTTGGGTTGTCTGCCATTTCTCTGAGCGTTACACGGTCAGTTCTTGGGGTGAATTTCCAGGGATGTCCACTTCTGGGAGGATTGGTGTCTGTTTTGAATGTCTTCCACTTGTGAATAAACTTTCTCACTGTGGAATAATGAACTTCAAATTGTTTGGAAATGGCCGTATTACCCTTCCCAGATTGATGGCAGCAACAATTGCTTCTGTAAGATCATTGCTGATGTCTTTCCTCTTTAGCATTGTTAACACACACCTGAAGGCTCCAGACCAGCAAACTGCCAAAACTTCTGCTTTTATAGAGCTGCTCACACTTGCTGATGATCAGTTAATCAAAGGTATTTGATTAGCAGTGCCTGACTGTTACTTACCCTCTTAATTCCTATGTTAACAGTAAGGGTTGTCCTAACACACATGGCTTTTCCATCTTGTCTTTATTTTTGTTAAATAAACAATGACACAGTGAAATATGTCATGTGTTGTTGTTCATCTGAGGTTTTATTTTCCTAAATTTAAGACCTGCCAATGACCAGTTATTTTTTATGATGCCCTGATACAGAAAACCATGTAATTCAATAGGGTGTCCTAACTTTTTCACATGACTGTATATGGTGTTTTCTCCCATACCGCAAAACACGGCATAATGACTACGATGATAAAGACCAAACTCAATATACTCCTCTTCATTATTAAAACATAACTAATATGTACAGGCAAGCAGGTGAGCCCAGAATAAACAACTCGCATAGTTTCGCGTTAAGCATTTTCCCATATAGAATAAATTGTCTACAGGCTATTTATGTCACCGTCTTTGTCCATTAACATGCTTTATTTTTAATGATTTTCTATGGGAGGAAAACGTTTAACGTGCAATTTAAGGCATTGCGTTCTGGGCTTGTCTGCTTGCCTGTACGGAGTTGGTCTTTTTAATATCACTTTCTTACTGCATTTCTTAATGCACGTTCATATCTGCTGGTCTGTATATAGTTTGCGTCAGCAATGAGACTTACACTGAATTTGGTCTTTATCATCTTTATCATATACTGGCCATCCGCTTGCCTTGTAGTATACATTATATTAATAAACTAGATATCGAATTTGATCTTTTAATAGCACTATCTGAATACATTAAGCCATATTAAGCGTTTATGGTTTTCTACAGGAGGAAAACCGCTTAACGAGAGACTTTGCGCATTGTGTTCATATTCTGCTGTTCTGTGGCCACGGATTAGCGGGTCTTGTCTTTTTCTCCTACAGGTGACTTGCAGGACCCTGTACGTTACAGTACCAAATTAGTTTTAATCGTTTAACATCCACAGTGTCTTGGCACGATTTGTGTAGATTGCAAGTGATGTCGCAGGTAGCAGAGAGTGCAGGCAGCTAAGTGACACTGTCATTTTGTTTATTTTTTCTTGTCTTCACCACCTGGCTACTTTTGTAAAATGTTAAGAGACTCAATTAAATAAATAAAAAAAATAAAAATAAATAAAAAGATTGCAAGCCACTTCACTTACGGAAGTGCAGGTGTCTGAGAAGTCTGAGAGAGATCTGCAGCTAGACCCTATTGGAAATTTCACTGGTGATTCACACGGTTTTGCTGCACCACTCATTGTGTAAATAGGCTGAAAACAGCCTTTAAAGGGGTCATATGATGCTGCTAAAAAGAACATTATTTTGTGTATTTGGTGTAATGAAATGTGTTTATGCGGTTTAAAGTAAAAAAAACACATTATTTTCCACATACTGTACATTATTGTTTCCACAACGAAGCACACAGCGGCCTAGCGTGAGCGAAAGCCCTGGCTTAGCCTGAGCTGAAGCCGGGCAAGAGTGAGCTGAGGCGGCGGGGTCGAGAACGGCGGTCCCGGCGAAGGAGCGGTGAAAGCCGATCCGGCGATCCACAGCACTAAGTTGATGTATTTCCTCAGCGACCAGCACAGATCAGCTCTAGGCATGGCGAAGCGGATATCGTCCTCTTTTGGAAGACCAAAGTAGCTTCGCTTTCACAACGAAGCACACAGCGTCTTCACGACATGGCTGCAGTGTCAACAATACTACAGCGAGAATAAAAGTTACGTCTTCTTTCTTTGCGTGAACATTTGGGCGGCTTTATGCAAATCTTCCCACATAGTGAGGTAGGTATGTGGGGGCGTGTTCGAACGAGCCGTTTTAGGTAGGTGTGGTTGACTCTTAACTTTTATAAAGAATATCTCTTTGGATTTGAGACTTTAGTCTTTGCAACTTTACAGATCTTCTTTATGCACCAAGAGCTTGTAACACTCTAAAGAGAAAGGAAAAAATGAAATCGCATCATATGACCCCTTTAATACAGTGTGTGTACTTCATCGCAATGCAAATACCATCCCTGCATGATCTCGCACTTGAACACTGTTTGTAGAGGCTCATTAACAATAGCATTTCGTCAAGCAACATCGACTGCAGATGAGAAATCTTTAGCTTCTAACTATATCTATAATCTATCAAGCATATAACAGTCAAGCACACATGCTGTACTCACATTTCTCATTCCTCTGTTGGCGTGAGAGGTCCTGTTCAGGGGTACAGGGCTCGTCTCTAGGTAAAGGCTCAAGAATGCAGATAGCATACGGTTGCAGGAGGTCCAGCCCAGGTTCTTCCCCCTCCCACAGGCAGCCACGCACCACCGATTCCAACACCTTCACCTTCCCTTTAGACATCAGCTCATTCTCCCATTCACGAGCCTTCATCCTCTGACGCACCTTCTGTTTCTCCGGATCTCCACCCTCCTGCAAGAGCAGCCTGTTAGCATCATGACGTGACTTAATGAGGCAACTGAAGAAGGGGGATGTTTAAAATACCTCGTCTTCCTCAAGTGCTCCTTCCCCTTCTGACAGATAACCGTGGGGCACAAAGAATCCATCATCATCGTCGTCATCATCTCCTCCTTCATCGTCATCATCCTGGAAGGAAAAGCCAGATTAAAGTCACCGCCAAATTCAAACATGCAGACAACAATGGCTAATTTGTCACTACAGAAATAGTGATGTCATATTGCTCACCCCCTCACTGTGTGACAGAGACTCTCCTGGCTCCTCTTCCTCCCACTCTTCATCACTGTCCACCTCATAATCCAGCAGGCCCTGATAAGACAAAAACTTCAGGTTGCTATGGAAGCCCATTTCCAACACATAAGAAGAAAAATCATGCTTTGGTAAATAATAAAGTCATAATTATAAATTTCAAAGCAGCTTCAGAGAAAACCACTATGTTAATGTTTATAATCCTAATACCTTCAATGCCTTATAGTTGCATTTAGCAGATTAGAGTTGGGTAATATAATTTACATTTTGCAACTACTCAACTCAACTCAAACTTTATTTATAAAGCACTTTCAACACCAAGATCCAAAGTGCTGTACAGAGAAAGATAAGAGAAAAACAAAAAATAATAATTTCCCAGGAAACTGCCCCAGGCAGTCATAGATATCATTAACATAACCCTTATTACCAAATAAAATCATCTCTGTCTTATCTTCATTCAATTGAAGAAAATTATTTGCCAACCAGCACTTAACCTCTGTCAGACATTGATGCAGAGACTGCAAAGCACATTTATGGTCCTGTTTCAATGGTAAGTAAATTTGTGAATCATCCGCATACAAGTGATAATGAATCCCAAATTTTTCAAAAATAAAACTCAATGGCAACATATACGGAGAAAATAAAATTGGTCCCTGAGGGACCCCACAGACAAGAGGAGCAGTAGAAGAAGAAGAGTAATCACCTAAACTGACTGAAAAAGTCCTATCCTTCAGATAAGAGGAGAAACATTTTAAGGCTAAGCCCTGAACACCAACATGATTCTTGAGACGAGCAATAAGTATATTGTGATCAACTGTATCGAATGCTGCATTAAGATCTAACAAAATTAGAACACAACTGTATCGAATGCTGCAGTAAGATCTAACAAAATTAGAACAACACAACTCCCAGAGTCAACACCTCTTAAGATATCATTGGAGACCCTCAAAAGAGCAGACTCTGTACTGTGGCCGGCTCTAAAACCAGATTGGAATCTATCTAAGATATTATTCCTCTTTAAAACTACATTTAAATGCTCCAACACAATTACTATATCATGCAATCAAGCAGATGAGATTGTCTAGTATAAATCTCCCAACATGAGTATACCACATGTACATGGATATACATACTTAAATATATCCAACTTTATATAAAAAGTAGGGCAACAATTTAGTTACATTTTGTCACAACGAGATAAAATCAAAACTGACAAAGTAATGATATAAAAAGTTGAAATTATGAGATAAATGGCGTCAAAAATGACAAAAAGGCATAACTGGGATAAAAAAAAAAAACATTATGACAAAGCTAAAATAAATAAAAAGTCATTTTTTGCCATAATGACTTTTCCACCCTCAGTTTCGACTTTGATAATTTTACCTTGCAATTACAACTTCGATTTTAAATGGTCAATTGTGATTTACCAGCTACAGTGAAAAAAACTCTACTAAGAATAACTTCTATAAATTATGAGAAACACATGTTTATCAGTAGCTGCAAATTATCCTTTGGTTTATTTCTGCAAAATTTTCTACCCTGTTTTCCATTCTGGCAAAGTTTAATGTATTTGACATTTTTAATTTTGAAGTTTTATTTTTTTTATTTGATAGAAATTAGTGATTTTTACGTGGTCAAAACCATAGGTTACACATTATGAACATGTAAAATGATCTTAATCTGTCATCTCACTAGCCAATTAATAAACTTCAAACATAGAGTTGCTATAGAATCAGAGGCAGTTGGGGCATTGTTGGGTTTATTTCTGAATTGCTTGAAATCAGAGGAAGCAGTTAGTGAACTGGACTCTCAGGCCCTCGACAGTGACCAATGAACTTCTTTGCAAGCTGAAAAACTGCCAAGTCATTGTCCTGCTCGGATCTCATCCAAACTTTTCCTAAGTAAACAAAGTCACATACAGCCACAGATTGTATCATGTATATCTTATAAGAAATAAAATTTTCCTTGGTGCTACTGAGAAATGACCTCACAACACAAGTGTATTTAGACAGTAATCACAATCACAATAATGTTGCCATGACAACAGTAAAGTTTAAGGTGGCTCTGATGCTGCATTTCCAGTTCTTTCCACAGGCTTGAAATATACTTGCGGTGGTAGCTGAGTGAAAATCCTCCAATTACCCATGGCACAAAAATGGTCTACTCTACTACATGTGACAAACTACAAATAATGTGTGACTTTTAACAATATTTTTATTTATTGAAATTCATTTTGATACAGATTATGCTGTGTTTAGGGAGATATGAAGTACCTTTTATCCATTTACCACAAAATTTCTCAACTACACCATTAATTTATATGAAATATTACATTTTTATGGGAAAAAAAAAAACACTTTAACCATGACCAAAATTAAATATTTAATTTGTTTCTGGATATTGATCTAGGTGTTAGGGGCAGAAATCTGCCATCTGCTGGCTACAGAAAAATCTGTAGGAAATACAGCATTAGTAATTTCCATATACATGCAGCAGAGGCCCATAGAGATCCATTAATTTTTTTGGATGAGGTTAACTGCTCTTATAAATGCAATGTGGAACAAACATGATCACACAAACGTATGTGCGCACGCACACACACACACCTGCTCTTTGACTGTGAAATATCCACCGCGTCTCTGCAGCGCATGTGGGATTGTCAGTGGGAATAAACAGGTCTTGCTAGGGCTGCACGATATATCGAAATTGTCGAAATATCGCAAATGTAAACATCGCGATATGCATATCGCAACTGCATGCAATATCTGAATCATTTTAATAATAGGTTACTTCAATCTTCAATTTTACACTTAATTATTACATTTCTGTACGTGAATACTTCTGTTTCAGGGTTTCTACAGGATTTTTAAGCTCAAATTTAAGACCTTTTTAAGACCTGCACCAATAAAATTATTACCATATGAGCGGGGTAGGGCAATGTCTATAGTACCATATTAAACTGTAAAATTACTGTAAAAAGCATAATTTACAGTTCAGATACAAGTTTTCACAAAAACAAAAAGTTTTATAAAATTATAAACTTTACATTTCAGCCTTTAAACCATTTTTAAGAAAATGGATGAGTCAAAAGTATTAATTACTATATTAATTTAAACAATTATTAACAATGAATTATTTTATCAATTAAATAACAAATTAGGGGTGTGCGATATTGACAAAAAATTATATCTCGATAATTTACAGGGATTTTATCGATAACGATAATTAGACAATATTTTGCTGAATGTGTCGATATCTTATGTCTAATTGTGCTGACAGCTGACTCCTGAATTTTTTTATATTCTTCATATTCTGTGTGGTCAGTTCACAGCAGTGATAGAAATTAATCATTTCCAACAAGTTTTATGGGCATTTTTACCTTTAAGCCATTTTTTCTAGAAGTATGTACCATCTTTTGAGTAAAATTCTTGCATTTGGGCTGTTACCAAGCAAATGAAATCAGTATCAACAAAATTGATCTTTGCAATGCAGAGGAAA